GACTGAAAGATTGGGCAGCCACACTGGAAATATCACAATATGGCAGATGGAGTAGTTTGAGAAGGAGACATCTGGGAAAGAGCATTCTCACATTATACTTCACTCTCAAGAAAACTGGAGCCTCATAGGAAAAATATTAATCCTTTTGAGAGCAGTTTCCCCACTGACATAACCACATCCCAATAGGCCCCACCTCTGCAAAGTTCTACACCCTCTTAATATCACCACAGCAGGGACCAGGATTCCAGCTCAGGATCCCTTGGGAAGTACCCACATTCAAACCATAGCAATTATTAATAAGAATGGGCTGTGGTCATTTCAGACTGCTAAAAATGCTCTGTATGCTTTTGATGGGGTTTTTGTCTTTGAAATATTTTGAAGAAATTTCCCGCTCACAGAAATCTATGAACACCACAATGTTTTTGAAATGTAAATGTTTCTCTTACAAAAAAGAATTTGCAGAAGAGCATGAGAATTATTCTGAGACATCCAGGAAATATCAAACATGCATGTGCACAACAACAAGTGGGTCTTGGAAGGGAACTCATAATTCTTTGATGGGAAGGAAGAAAATCCTGACCTTGGATAGCTTCGATAAAAATAGTATTCCAGAGCATTCACAAATGGTGTAAGACATATTCTTTAGCTGAGCATGACATGTTAGTGATAACATAACCTATCCTTCTTTGTAAATCACAAGCTTCATATTTTTATATTACTCTTCAACTTCACATCAAGAGCATGAGGGGATTGGTAAAGGTGACACCTCTGAGGCATTAATGCCCACTTGTGGGGAATGTAAGGAACTTGTAAACTTTCTTGCAATTTGTGAGGATTGTGCCTTGAGGTAGGTCTTGGGTCTCCCGCTGCTCTGAATAGCAGATAGGGAAGGACAGCACTGGGAATTTACTTACTCATCCCACTGTGGTGACTGGGCCTGGGCTCTTCAAGGAAATCCTCTTGTAACAAAGTATTTGACATGGATGATTGTGTTTGTGTTTCCCATGTCAGGTCCTGGATGTGATATCTGGATGACCTAGTTTCTGTGCTGCCTGTGTGGCTTTCTAAGAGACAAACCCACCATTAGTTGTCACGCCAGCCAGGGGATTAGTAGGTATTTACATTGGTACCAGCATAAACCATGGAAACCACTTAAGCTCCTGATCTATGAAACTGCAAATTTTCAATCAGGAATTCCATGGAGGTTCAGTGGCACCTGATCCAGGAAGGATTATTTTCTCACCATCATCAGGCTGGAGCCTAAAGATTTTACAACATTTTATTTTCAACTCATTAGCATTTACCCTCCCACAGTGATACTAGCCATAATGTAAACATTGCAGGGAAGCAGGAGTGTGAGGCTGGGCTGCTTCAGCTGCCTGTGCTGGTACCTGCACCTGCTGAGAACATTTCTCAGGTGGAGCCCGGAGTTGAAGATCACTGGGAGGTTTTGAGAGAAGATATCAGGGAGGCTTCTCTGCACCCTAACTGTCTTTGGATGCCTCAGCCCCATCCCCAACATAACAGACACAACAATCCCCCTCTTTGTGTAACAAAGGACAGAGATCATTAGAAGTGAGGAGTATCTGTCAGGGCATCCTTTTAATTCATAGAGCAAAACAAAACCCACAGTAGACATTTCAAGCATGGACTGTATTGATACCGAGAAGTGACATCTACACCATAGTCATTAAATAGGGGATGTAGTTTATGGTTCTCTCCTCTCAGCCACAGCTTGTTTCCCATTGAAGGTATAGACTGCTAACCCTGTGGTCTTCAGTTAAGTCTGGAAAGTGTACAGCTGGGGTGCTGGGGCACTTAGCTATCTATAGCACCGGACTGGTGATTTTCTGGCCCTCACATCTGTCCAAGCATCTGTATGAAGGTGCTGTGTATATTGAATCTTTCTCTTCTGAAATGCAAATCTCACAGGAATGTCCTTAATTGAGCAGTTGTTGAAGAAAAATAGGAGACAAAGGGTTCTGAGCCATGTGATTCCAGATGAGCTGGTGTTGATGGGGAAGTGAAAAGATGCAGCCCAATGTGGTCACTATTGTCTGACGCTTAGAAGTGTGCTGGAGAGGGGATGGACACGTAGTATGCAGGTTTGTCCATTCAAATATCAGCAAGTGTGGGATCTCATAAAAAAGTCAATAAGTCACACAGTAAACAAAAAGAGGTTTATAAAGCACAGGAGACTTTTAACACACAATGAATAACTGTATTAAAAATAAATATGAAATTTATCTTTTGCCTTAATATGAAGATGTTTTGATGCTCAAATTTTGCCCAGAAGCTACTGGCATCTTCTATGTTGAAGGTCATTCTCAGAAAGGCAAAATATCTGTCTCTGTTTGACATCAATTGAGGAGGATTTCCATATTAACAAGAGAGCAGGTTTCTCGGATAATGTTAGGAAGTTCTTTTCAAAAGTACAATTACTGAAGCCAAGGTGATTATAATATTCAGAATTTAAGAATTTTTTTTTTTGAGTTATGTCATTCACAGAAAATCTATTCTCATACGGAACTTTGTCACAAAACATCTCATGAACAAAAGTTAGATACAACCAAAATTATGGTCATTTCCATAACTTGGACCATTTATTTACCTCATTTATCTCTCTTGTGTTAAAAATTAACAAACAGGAAGCAAACAAATCCTCCCCTTTCTACTGACCTTCTTTGTGAGCTGACCCCAAACTCTCACATATGCAGCTCGACAAGATAAATTATTTCTGACCTAAGAAGAACTCAGGTGCTAGCACTCCTGATCATAAAATTCTTTATGTCCTTTGTTTAAATTGGCACCAAAGAACTATGTGGAAATATCTGGGAATTCAAGGACAGACACCTACCTACTTGGCATGAAAGGCCTTCTGTCTCCTATGAGTGCCTAATTGGTGCTCTAACAAACCACCGATGTCTCACTGCTTCAAGTAGTTCAAATTGTTTACCTCAAAGTGCTGGGCTACTGAATTTTCACTGAGCATAAATTCAGAAGTCAGGAGGGTTATGTTCCTTGTAGAGACTCCAAAGAATCTGATTTCCTGAGTTCCAGAATATTACCACATTCCACATTCCATGTACCCATTCCATGGTCACAATGATATGAACTTTCCATTGGCATGCCTTCTCTGGTTGTGACATGCTCATTCACTATTACGTGGACCCTTGCATTTACATTGGTCTGATCAGGGTAACTTCTCCCAGTCTCAAATTTATTAGACTGGCAACACTGACTACTCCCTCTATTCTGGTAAAAGTTGTGTATTTTTCATTTTGAGGGATGAAATTAGACTCCTATGTCTCATATTGTCCAAATATCTACTCAAATTTGAAGACTTAAACATAAGATCTGATACATTAAAACTACTAGAAGAAAACAGAAGAAACTGACACAGGCAATGATTTTCTGAACAGGACCCAGATAATTCAGGAAACAAAAGCAAGACAGACAAATGGGATTATACCAAATTATGTTGTTTCTCCACAGCAAAAAGAAACAATGAGCAGAGTGAAGATACAACCTACAGAATGGGTGAAGAACTTTGCCAGCTATTCATCTGAAGATTAATATCCAGAATACAAAGAGAACTCAAGAAACTTACAAAAGAACAAGTAATCCATTAAAAATGGCAAATGATATCAAAGGAAGAAGTATAAATGGCAAGTACAATATATGAAAAATGCTCATACATTTTGTCTTCAGAAAAATGCAAATGAAAGTATATTGACATTTCACTTCAAATCAGTAAGAACGCTATTATCAAAAACAAAACAAAAAACAAAATAAAACTGCTGTTGAAGACATCTAGTACAAGGAATCTTTATGGAACGTTTTGTGGACATAAATTAGTGAACCTGTTATGGAAGATAGTATGCGGGAGCCTCAACAATATAGCTACTATAATATCCAACTATAGCACTTCTGAGTGTAAACCCAGGGAAAATAAAGACAGTACACAACAGAGATACCTAGATTCTTGTATTTATTGTGGCAATATTCACCCTACTACTATTAAAGAGTCAAAGAGTACATGGCAGAGGGATGCACCCAGGAGCAGCCCCTCACTTAAGGTGTGCTAGGCTGGCCTCTTCCCAGGGCCTCCATCTGCACCTGCTCTCTACAAAGCTGCAGGTTCCAGAAGAGCTGCACCTGGGTCCCCCAGGATGTGCTGGCAGAAGTTGCACCTCAGGAAAATTTCCCAGCATGTGTGCTCTTGGGATGCTTTGTAGAAAGAATGGAGCTTAAAGGGCCTGAACTAATGCAGAGGTCATGCTTAACTTAATGGGGCTCTTATAGCAGGTGGGAGGAAGAGAGTTTTGTCACATGGTTATCAGGTCTGACATCAGTGCTCAGACTTGCATGTTGATTAACTTTGAGAAATACTAACAGATGGAAGAAAAGCAGTGGAAAAGAGGGAAGTGGAGCCCAATCAAATAATAATGTGAGGCCTTTTAGTCCTTTAGTATAGCAGTGACCTGAAGCTTTGAATAACATTGGGTCTGTGAGAGAAACACCCACTGAAGGAACACTTCATCATTTCTATTCATCTGCTATAGATTAGTTCACATTAAATAGAGAAAAACAATCGCCTAAGCCCATCAGAAAATGATTTTGCATAACTCTAAGTTGATCCTGAGAAGGGCTCTATTCTTTTTTAAAATATAAAATAATTTTGCACCCACAGAAATGTCTTAAGTAGAGCATGAATTATTTTCCTGCCCCTACCAGAAACGTTTGCTAGTAAGTTGAAACCCAAGTTGTCAAAACTTATTTTGTACTGTTTCTAAACAAGGGTATTCTACATAGTCTTACTATATCTATGAAATTATTTACCTATCTAAGCCTAGATTCATTTAGAGTGCTGACAGTTTTCCCCACATGTTCTCTGTAATGAAGTTTCCCTCCGAAGCAATACAATTTGAGTAAGCAAATTCTGGGCTCTCCTGGTCTGAGCTGGGACACCTGGGGACACTGGGCCTGGTGCTGAGTTACTGAGGTGAGACAGCTCTGCAGCTGTGCCTCGCCCTGCCCAGGTCCTACTGATTTGCAACTCCCCAGAGCACAGATTTTAATAGGCTGCTCACACCCTGTGCAGGAGTCAGTCCCAGTCAGGACACAGCATGGACATGAGGGCCCTTGCTCAGCTCCTGGGGCTCCTGCTGCTTTGGCTCCCAGGTAAAGTAGGACAGTGCTGCATTACACATTCAAGTGTGGTCAGTGCTGGCTCCACAGGGAAACCTTCTAATATGATTAATCTGTGGGATATTTGTTTTTATGTTTCCAATGTCAGGTTCCAGATGTGACATCCAGATGACCCAGTCTCCATCCTCTCATTCTGCATCCATAGGAGACACTGTCACCACCAATTGCAAGGCCAGTCAGAACATAGGTAGGAGTTTAGCTTGGTATCAACAGAAACCAGGCAAAGCTCCTAAGCTCCTGATCTATGCTGCAAGCAGTTTGGAATCCGGGGTCCCACCAAGGTTCAGCGGCAGTGGATCTGGGACAGATTTCACTCTTACCATCAGCAGCCTGGAGCCTGAAGATGTTGCAACTTATTATTGTCAACAGTATAGTAGCTACCCTCCCACAGTGGTATAACCCATGACATAAACCACTCAGAGAAGCAGAAGTGTGAGGCTGGACTGCTCGTTCTGATGCCTTCAGTTGCTGAGAGTATTTCTGAGATGAAGCAATTCTTTGAAGGACAGTGGGTACCATAACTTTTTCTCCATGCTCCGCCCCAGTTCCACATACATGATATCATCCTCCTGATTTATTCAAGGGCTCAGATCAATAAAATTGGAGCACTTGGATTTTCTCAAGAGTTGAGGTTCTTACTGCAAATGACAATTTACAGGGGAATTTCCAAGTACACTTTGCTTTAGTAGAGTGAACTGGTGTCATGAGGGGTGTGGCAGTCAAAAAATTTTATTCTATGAATAGGAAATTCTCTGGTCTTTCCCCTGAATATTGAGTGTATCTATTACTGAAAGTACTGGTCCCTGAACCCTGTGGTCCTCAGAAGTCTAGGAACTCTAGGTTTGGGTACTACTGCCCGCAGCTGCCCGGAACACTTTAATCAGGTGACTCTCCAGCCACCACCTCTCTCCATGCATCTGCTTGTGGCCACTGGTAACTACTGAATCCTCCATTTCTCATTTCTAAAATCATGGGCGGACTCCCAATTGAGCAGTACTGGGTCATGAGGGCTCTGTTAGGAATTACAGTAATACCTCCATTCACAGATGCTTCTATTTGGAAACAAAAGCGTTTGGCAAAATTTTGCTTCCTTTTGAAAATTCCCCATTGAGTGACAAGCACCACCATAGCCACTTTCCCCACATAAACACTAAAGCAGCCATTTTACCCCAAATATTAAAAGAACCTAAGTACATAAACCGAAGCATCACCATCTACAGCAAACCACGTAAGGAAAAGGGATTCTGAGGAACAAACCTCTCAACTGATGGTGAGCTTGAAATGAAGCAGTGGCCCAGTATGGTCACTATCACTCAAACTCTCAGATTTCTCCAGATATAGGATGGAGCCCAATATAGGGCATATGTTTTCAAGTATTATTAGCAAGTCTGGTATCATAGCTAAAAACTTGATGGAGACATATTGTATACATAAAATGAGAAGTTACAGAAAATGATTCAACACTATTCTTTCAACAAACAAATTGGTACACTTAGGCAAGATTCCTAATTACAGATGACATCTTCCTTTTCCTTAAGTCAAATCCCTGCTTTTCAAAATCAGTCCAGGATCCAGCAGTGTCATTTATACTGCAGGTTAACCTGCAAATTTACAGACTGTGGTTGACTCCTACTGATCAAGACTTGCATTAAAACAGGCTCAGTGCATGGTCAGGAAGCTGTTTAAAGGGGCATTTATTTTATCTAAGGTAAATGAAATATTAGTCAATAATGTAGTTCTCCTGAGTTCTGAGCTAAGATAGATGCAAAAATTTGATTTTCATAAAGAATATTTGAAATGTTTTCAAAATGACTCATTAACTACGAAAGATAAAACCAAAATTATACTAATTTGCATACTTTTGATAATTGAGTCCCCACCTCAGTCCTCTTCATGAACACCATCCATAGTGTGTGGAAAGGGTTAAAATGGGAGGCAGAGGTGGACACTGCTTGAGAAAGGCACATAGGATCCTGACTATGTCCAGAGAATGAAATCTTGTGACTATTCTCTGTGAAGACAGCTCCTCCCCAGATGATGTAGGGCCACATTTGGCACATTTCGTTCTGTCTGTTAATGGTGTCTTCTTGTCACTGAGATACAATCTCAGAAACTATCAGAAACTCATGACCTAAAGGAGGAGATGTTTATCTGGGCTCATGTTTTTAGGAGTTTCAGTTCATCCTTGTCCATATTTGGCTGGTTCAAGGCAGAAATGGCATAATGGATGGGGCTTGGCAGCTGCAGAAATCATGCTTCTCAAGAAGGGGGGCAGGAGAGAGAGAGAGAGAGAGAGAGAGAGAGAGAAACACTTGTTCTAGGTTATGCCCCCAGTGACCCGTCTCTTCACACCAGGACCCCCTCCACCCAGGAAGATCAGCTACATTCCTAATAGCACCCCAATGAGCCATCCACTGCCAAGCACATGAGACTTTGAGATTATTTTCAATGAGGACATAACAGGGTTTATTAGGAAGTGGGTTGATTTGTGACCATCACTGGGGAGAGAAAGAGAGGGAGCAACATATGTAGTGTATGCATACACAAAAATAGTGTTTTAATGGCTGAGTAGATGCAGTAATGATTAATACACTCTCAAATATTATTATGTGGAGGCTGTCAATTTGGGAAAAAGGCCTTTGCAGATGTTAAAAAAGAGCATTTATGCTAGGTCAAAGATTGTCCTGTGTGTACCAGTTGGCCCCCAATGCAATTTCAGATGTTCTCAAAAGAGAAAGACAGAGGGAGATTTAACACACAGTTGAACTAAAAGATCTTTCCTGAATGAACACCTGTCTGTATTCATCGCCAGGTACATGAAGAGGGCAGTTCACATTTTGAAGTTCACCTATGCCCTGTTGAATTAATTGGAAATACGTGACATGACCCATGTAGCATTGGGCAAGAATATTTACTAATGAAGAAATGGTTGAAGACCGAAAGCCCCACATGATGCCCCACTTCCCTATGAACCATGCAGTGGCTCCAGGCACAGCTGTGAAAGTGCACACGTGATCTCTTCCTGAGATGAAGGTTGGCTGTGCAGGGATGATAGGAAGAGTGGAGTCTGCGTTATCACCCCAATCTCCTCTGGATCCTGAAATAATAACAGAGAAGTGCAATATTAAGGACAAACATGAAGGCATTTTTCCTAATTTTAATTTAATGAATTATGTCAAGTGAAGACATTTTATGTTTGTCAGTTTGTTTCTATTCCCATTTTGCAAAGTACAGAATGTATCAGTGACATAGAAAACTATAGAAATGACTTATACCACCTACTCCTTTCTAGTCAAAAGATGCTTCCTGGAATCTGCCTCTTGTCAATCTTGTCTATTTACTGAAAGCATATTTGCATTATTTCTATTTTGCTACTATATACATAATGCTAAGGCTGTTGTAAATGATACAGTTATTGATGGGGTTTTCCTGGCATGTATCTGAGGCACCCATGGGACACAGAGCTCAGTTGCGTGTTGTTTGCCTGAATTCTCTAAAGTTTTCTCCTTATACACATGCAGAAAACCTCCTGTGCTGCTTCCCAGCAAGCAACACATGAGGGCAGCTGGGCCTCCGAAAGCAGGGAGGTTTGTATTCCACTGTAAGGAGGAGCATGTATAGTTTGGTGCAGTAAAAAACTCCAACATCCTCAGATTCCACCATGAAGATTCTGAATGTGAAATCTGTCTCTGACCCACTGCCACTGAACCTGCCTGAGACCCTAGAGTACCAGTCTGATATCTTATGAATCAGGTGATATGGAGAATGGACTGGCTTGTGTGAAAGCAAATTGAAATAGATGTTTCCATCACCTGCAGGACTCCCTGACTAGCGCAGTAGGAGATGGTGGTCAGCTCTCTGTAATGATGGGAGTGGAGTCAGGAACATCACAATATCCCTAATAGATCCTAAAATAATGAAGGAGAAGTGTCAGGCATTTTAATAATTTTTCTTTTTTTTTTTGTTTGTTTCTGGCTGAATTATTTTTGGGATTTTGATTTATAAGTCAAAGATATACCATTTTTAAAAAGATCCCTAATAGATCCTAAAATAATGAAGGAGAAGTGTCAGGCATTTTAATAATTTTTCTTTTTTTGTTTGTTTGTTTCTGGCTGAATTATTTTTGGGATTTTGATTTATAAGTCAAAGATATACCATTTTTAAAAAGATTTGCAAGCCACACAGGGCCCTTTTGAATTTGCCTATACAATCTTTCTCTATGTGACAGTTGTCACTAGAGCCCAGGTCCCAGCTCATTCTGAAATCTTTGTCACATCCTGGAGGATGAGACTTGCACATCTGACTTGTGCACAGAACATGCTAAAGAAGCTGTGGGGCCCCAGAGCTCCCTCTCCTCCCTCACTTCCTTTCTTGTTTTCCTCAGTGTTTACAAGGATCTAGAGCATGAGCAACCCTGAGTGAGCAACTAAGCAGGGAGCACCATTTTGAGAAGCCGACCTGAGGGGATCAGCCAAGGCAGGAAGAGGCCTGAGCTTTTACCTCAGATTTGTGAGGGAAGATTTTCCCTAGGGCACCCTAGAAATTCCCTGGTTTAGTGACATGGGAGAAGTCAAGGCCAGGAGCATAGGCCTCTTATGTTAGCCAAGTAAAATAAAATATATTCTGGTTTAGGAGGAAAACCAAAAGAGATAAACTCCATGCTGCCTGCAGCAAGGGTTAGAATGACCCCAGTCTGAAAGTCTGGACCTGGGTAGGGGCCACAGTGCTTGTGAGCCTCCTTCCCAAGAGAGCCTAGGATATGCAAGTGTTTGTCCAGATCACTATCTGGGAGGGTAAAAAACAGCCTACTCAACTCCCTCCCACTAATGAGAGAAAGAAACAACTCCCCCTTTACAAGTGCTGATCATCAGAGTTTTCTATCATTCACATTATGGAGTGGAGTTAGTCGAGCTTCTGGCATCTGCTGTTACCAAGGCAACTATAAGAATGTCAGGAACAGGGATAGATATGATCTCTTCCCAGACCTAGTGATTAGACTCCATAAGAGCACTCAAGTCAAAAGCACTGGAAGGTGAAAAAAATCTGTCTTTTTCATTTAGAGAGAATGCTACATAGTAAATATGAACTTCCTGGTAACTAGTTTTTAAACTGATTAGACTCTTATCCTTATCTCTTTCTCTACATATCAGATTAATCAAACATGTCTTAAGAGAAGCATTCTTTTGCTCTCATTGCACAGAGTGAGCAAGACATAATTTTATGTGCATATTTTTCTAATCAACATAGAAAAATCCTTCCCAAAATTCCTCTTTTTTGCCGTGGTGGTTATTGGGCCACCACCCTCATGTGTCACAGAATGAAAGAAGATTCCATACATTAGAAGAGCCAGAATGAGCCAAGTCTTTTAATGTCTGAGGGTAATTTGAACTTAGGAGTGACATTGTCCTGGTCTCCTTCTGAGATGTTCACTGTGGAGAAGTGTGCTGCATCAGAGCTGCTGAGGAACTTTCATTCCAGACTTCTTGCCTCCCAATCTGTGAGAGGATAAACCTGTTTTTTTTTTTTTCGTTGACA